CACACTGCTCCGTGTGTGTGTTCACGGTGTGTGTGTGTTCACTGCTGTGTGTGTGCACTTTGGATGGGTTAAATGCAGAGCACTAATTCCAAGTATGGGTCACCATACTTGGCCACGTCACGTCACTTCACTTCACGTCACTTCTTTGTGCACAAAAAGTATTCTCGTAGCTTCGTAAAATTAAGGTTGAACCCCTGATGTCACATGGATTATTTTAATGATCTCCTTATGTTTCTGAGCCTTAATCGTGTTAGGATCCTTGCTGTATATGGAGAGTCAGAAAGCTCTCGGACTTCATCAAAAAATATTTTAATTTGTGTTCCGAAGATGAACGAAGGTCTTACAGGTTTGGAATGACATGAGGGTGAGTAGTTAATGACAGAATTTTCATTTTTGGGTGAACTAACCCTTTAAGTGTACATATGGAAAAAAAACACTAATGGAGTTCTAAAAGAGATAAACAGATCAACTGTCATCTTTTTTCTTGTTTTCAGGTTCATCTCAAGCCAATACACATGTTCTGGAGCTGCCCGAGAGGATACGCAGCTCTCCGGCTGTTCAACTGGCTCTGGCCGTGAGCAGAGCACATATGGAGCGCAACCCAGTTCGGCTGCTCCGTCTAGCCCAGAGACTGGACTTCATCCAGGTCTGTGCTGTCCACCGACACCTGCTGCCCTGCAGGACAGACCTGCTCCTGCTCTACAGCCACGGACACAGCAGCCGCAACTGCCGCTACCCGCTCCAGAGACTGGCACGCCTCCTCTTTCTGAAAGACGCGCTGGCTGTGCAGCTGTGCCAGGTGTGCGGCGTAAACGTCACTGAAGAGTGGGTGAACTTCTCTAAGAGCTCCTTCACTGACACTCCGTCTGGAGATCTGCAGTGCAGACGTATGCATGAGCCGCTGGATGATGAGCGGTGGAACTGTTCTGCTGGCAGCGTGATTCATGGCTGTGTCTGAAACACACTGTTGTTCGTTTGTACTGTTTGTTTCTCTACCTTTTATGTTTTGGGTCATGCCATGTTTGTATTTTTTTTTAATAGTAAATATTTCAGAACAATTTCCCACTTCTGAATTAGTCCAAAAACCCGTGCATTTTCAATAAAGCTTTAATTTTTTTGCATAAACTTGGCAAACTCAGGGTTTTTCGGTGGCCCGAGTTACACTCGTTCTAACACGCCCCCACATATCTACATCACTATGTGGGAAGATTTGCATAACGCCGCCCAAATGTTCACACAGAAAGGCGGGGCATAGAGGAGAAACAATAATGTACAGTATGTGTAAATGTGTTTTTTGAACCTTAAACCGCATAAACACATTTCATTACACCAAATACACCAAATAATGTTCTTTTTAGCAGCATCATATGACCCCTTTAAATCATTTTCATGTGCAAATAAAGAGACGGGGCGTTGTTAACAGTTATTCACTGACCATTAGAAGTGGGCAGACACTTGACGACTGATTGACAGCCATTTTAAATATTTTTTGCAAATATATTTCATAATATATTTACATCTAATTTTGTGCATTTTTTTGTTTGTGCTTTGTGTTTAAACCTTTAACACTGAATTATTTAGTTTATCATGAAAGTGTATGTAATGGTGTGTTTCAAGCATAATAATTACACATTACTTAGCACTTTTTGGATATGTTATGACGCACAGTTGCAGGAAAACCAATCAGAGCTGTCTTCGCTGCAAGTGACGTCTAAGCAGTTGAGTAGCATGTGAATCTTCCTAAAGCTTATTTTTATTTCAATTAATGCATTGTGATATGCCATGAATTAAAGGGGTCATATGATGCTGCTAAAATGAACATTATTTTGTGTATTTGGTGTAATGAAATGTGTATATGCGGTTTAACGTAAAAAAAAAAAACATTATTTTCCTCATACTGTACATTATTGTTTCTCCTCTATGCCCCGCCTTTCTGAAACGCATCGATTTTTACAA